TTTCCTTAACGAAAAAGATGGCGATAAATAAACAAGTGAGGCTCTTCCCTTGCAATCATTGGTCAATCAAAATTATTATTTTATCCTTGGCGCATGCTACTCGCAATTGGTCACCAACTGGTGATCTATGAGGAAATGTAGTTTGTGGAAGGGTCATTGAACACCCTGATCAAATATCCTACTTTGTAGACCAATCGAGCACCTGGCACAACGAGAAAAACCTATTCGAATTACAGAGAATAGCAATATACCATAGAAAAAAATAGAACAAGAGACAAAACCATACCATAGAAAAAAATAGAACAAGAGACAAAACCATATGGTTTATGTAATATGGCAATTGCCTAAATCCACGGGACAAAACCATAGGGTTCATGTCCTACAAGATAATCTATTCTTGCGTTTTTTATGAAGAACCCACAAGAAACACCCTCTATCTCATGAAAAGACCTCTCACAAATCCTGAATTTCTCTCCTTAATTCTCTCTACTTCTCTCTTACAACATACGTCTCTCTTTGGCTTCCCATAAACCCTGAACCTCATGAACAACTTTATTTATAGAGTAGGATTCTGAATACAAAAGAATTCCCAAATAAGCCAGTCCTAACCCACCCCAGACTAGATTTTAACCTACTTTTGCCCACGAACTGCCAACAGTGACTACTGAAGGTTGCATCTCTAGCCCACATCAACTGGCGGTGCTAGGTCATGATCAGGGGCTATTTGTAGCCATTTTTTTCGCTATTTTTCGCCGGTCGGACCTCCTTTCTTCTATCCTCTTTTATTGTCTTCTTAGGGCTAGAATTCAAGGATAATCCCAAAAAACTCGACCATAGACTTGTACGAAACCACATTCAGAATCATCGTTCCTTCCTTTTAACCATTTGTTGTAAACTTGTAAACATAGTTGCATGATTCCCTCGACCCCCTTTGAAGCGCTATACAATTCATGCAAACCGATTCTCTGTACATTTTTTGAATCGACTCCATCTGATACACAAATTGGTTTTTCAAAATTACACTAGTAGAAAAACGCGTAATCTAGACGGAAAAAACCGTCTAGGTTGCTCCGAATTCCGTCTAGGTTGATCAACCTAGACGGAAATCCATCTAGAATATTTCCGTCTAGTTTGTGACAAACTAGACGGAAATCCGTCTAGGTTACGCAAACTAGACGGAAAGCAACCTAGACGGAATTGCTCTTTTTCCCGCAAAAAAAAAAAACATTTTAAAACGTTGATTCTCTGTACATTATATTACATTCACGATATACACATAAATACATGATTCCTGTATATTTAATATACACATCCAATTCAATATAATCAAAATTCATATCCAATACACACATCCAACAATCCAATCCAAAAACAATCCAGTCCATTATACACATTCAACAATCTATGCTAATATCCATTTCAGTAAAAACTTATATTATCTGAATATTTACAACATATACACTAGCAATACCAAATCCATCCATAACACGAGATGAATAACATAGAGTACACGACATGAATAAAAGTAGAGTACTAGTACAAATAAAAAACTGTTCATTACATTAAAAATAAAAAAACCTCACATCTCGCCGTCGTCGGCAGCGTCTCTATCCCTCATACGAAGCCCTTGTGGTATTACTGCTAACAACTTATTATTTTGCACATACCTACAATCATCAGAATTCACACGATAACTCAACACTCAACATCAGAATCCACTACTGTAAACACGAAACACATCCAAATAAGAACATTCTCATGACAAATTAAATTAAGCTCACTTTAGGGTACAAATGTTCTAACGAAAATTAATGGAAATGAGCAGATTAAATATTCTAAAAAGGGAAGGCAATGGAACAATGCTTTCAAGTTCCAACAAGCTTAATAAACAGATATGGATTCTAACTTGCTAAGATGTCCTCTGATTTCTTTACCTTGCTCTGTAAAGCTTCCTGCGTCTTTTCGCTTCTTCAGATTCTCAAATCGTTCTTGGACCTATGAATAGATCATTAGATTCATTACATTAATAACATTAACCAATTATCAACGGTCACTAATAAAATAAAAAGTGAAGGTAAATAAATTTGAAGATGCACACACATCTACCACGCACTCACAAACTAAACAATAATATCCGGCCTGCAGTACAGAAGATCCAATCGGTGAATACCGAAAGTGAAATAGCATATCTATTATGGGATAAATATACAGATGCTTACAACTCTTATAATATAGAAGATTGACTTGGTGAATACCGGAAGTGTAGTATATATTTATTACGAGATAAATAAACAGATGCTTACAGTTCTTGGTAAGGTTACTGGTACTGATTCTAGAGCTTCTTTACAAATTTAGCTAATATTGATAGGTAAAATATAATGAATAAAAATAGCAAAGTAATTAACAAATTAATGAAACATTCAAACCGCATCATTAGTTTCGTCTAGATGTTGCAATGGTTGTTTCAGTTAGTCAATGAAAGTCTTCGTATAAATTTTCGTATTTATTTCAACATTTTTGCATCTTCTTTAGGTTTCATTTTAATGATATATAGTTCATTGTGGTAGCGTAAAAAAACAGTACACATTAAACCGCTTGTCTTTGGATTCCATATCAGATTCATTTTGTCTTTAGATATAAGATCCACCTGGTGAATGCTAGAATGAAGTAGAAGTGGCGTATATACTACAGTACCACCATTCAAATCTAAGTGAAGTTTGATGTGTATGGAAAAGTTGTGCAAAATACTAAAAAATGAGTACGCAAAGTAAATGTACAATTTCTTGTTGTAGGACATGAACTTAATCAACTTTTCAACTGAACCACATTGGTTCTTTAATTAATCAATAAATGACTTCACACATATTATGCTATTTGTTTAACCATTCCAATATACTTCACTCTAATAATGTAAGAAAACGGTGTATACCAAATTTTATTCCATCCGGTGGCCTTTGGAGAACAGATTAGTTTGGAAATGACTCGCAATATCCATTTGCAACATAGTTAAAACTAAAACACCATTGAAAGTTAATGAATTACAAAACTCATTCTGGAATATATTTTAAAAGGTTTAATCCAATAAATTGCGGTAACAACAGGAAGTTGAATAAAATATTTGAAGAACAATTCAGAAAGATCATTGTCCTTTATTATATGCTAAGTGATAACATGATAAATAATCGGATAGGTACAGTTGTATACACCTAAACAAGTCAAGAACATGAACCTGTTGGCTTAACGGTGCAATCGGAGTGACCACCTGCCAAAGTACACAGGATTAGTTCAAACACAATCCTGAGCAATACAAAATCATAATCAAGCCAGTAACTACTGCTGAAGATGCACAAATATCATTATCAACACAAGAGTAGTAAAGTTGGTCACTGTACATGATGAAAACAAATAGATGCTTATTTGAAAGGGAAAATCCTCTTTTAACCCAAAGTTTTACCCCAACTTATTTAAAAACCCATTCACTTTTCAAAACATCAATAGACCCACTATATCACATCCCACTTATTTTTAAACCCAAATGTACAATACACCCATTATTTGTACTGTATTTATCCAAAAAATTTGAAAAATCCTAAACTACCCTTCATCCCCAACTGATCTCTCCCTCTCCCCTCCTCCTCCATCTGAGCTCAGAAGAGATCTCTCCCTCTCCCCTCCTCCTCCTCTTCCCTCCCTTCACTTCCCCTCAACCACTACCACCAACCTCCTCCTCTTCCCTCCCTTCACTTCCCCTCCTCCCTCAAGCCCATCAACCTCTGCATCCACTGCCCCTATCTCCCCTCGCCGCCACGTCACCCACCACCGTCGACCTTGAAGTAGATGAATAGCCCACCAATGATTTCGACATTGACTCCCTGTAGTTCGCCCATCAACCTGAAGCACTTGTCATTGCCGCCAGTGGACGGAGCTTGAGGAGCACTCGGAGTAATGGCGGAGGTCGAAGACCGCCTGGCTTTGTAAGGAGCTGCTTTCGCATAAGCCGACGACGATGGTGAGGATCCTTGGCGCTCAAAGGAAGTGGGTTCGGCAGAAGGAGGTGGGTTATGTTGTTCTCCATTGCAAGTCAGGTTAGTTCAACTCTTTGCCCACCACCTGTTTGTTGAATTTACGCTTAGTGTTCTCTCTTATCAATATTTGATTTTGATTTTGATGATTGTTGGTTACTCAAATTCTAATTTATTGTTCTGTCATTCTAAAATCTCATGAACCTACAACTTGCAGCCTGTCCGTGATCGCTTCAAAAATAACGCTGATGCCAAAAAGCTATTGGAAAAAGTGAAGGTAACCTTTACTTGATGCTCAATTGCTCATAAGATATGTACATTCATGAGATATCAACCATGACTTACATAACTATGGTTCCTCTCTGGACATTATGTTTTAAAATTAGAACTATAGTTCTTGCTTGCATTTATGAATAGAATTTTCCTTAGAGTTGATGATTGATGTGAAAATCCTCCCTCTTTTTGCAAGCGTACAAAGTTACTAGGTGATTATTCTTACTTGTTGGTGTTGGGAATGGTGACGAGTTGTAACATAAAAATTCTAATTTTCTTATTGCTTGGTGGTCCTTCAGATTCTTATTGTTCTTGTGGGTTTTGATAATTCGAAGCATTACGACATCAAAATCGATATTACTTTCATGTATTTTGATTTGGAAATGCACGATAAGTTAGAATTGATATTGCATAAAAGCTTATAGATGATTCCTTTGAAAGTGGTATGAAGCCTCTTATGCTAGCATTTCTCGATATTACTTTCATGTATTTTGCTTTGGAAATGCACGATAAGTTAGAATTGACAGTTAATAAAATTTTCTTATCATGCAATCATTGATTGTGACATTTATTTGTGCAGGAG